GCAGCGTCCCGTGCAGGAGCGTGGCTATGGGGGTCTAGGAACCAGCACTCACAGTTTGTCCCTGCGAGCAGCAGAGCAATCAGAGAGGGAAAACAACAGCAGATTAACGAGCAGTCCCACTGCTGGGGGGCAGAGGGTGGGGGAGAAGACAGCGCTCGCGCGTGGATCGGACGCAGGCGCCAGCCCCCCGCCGGGCGCAGGCAACTGGCAGCCAGAGCTCCCTTAGGCAGCGTGGGCTGGACACCCCTGGCCCGGCTCCGGTCAAGGGCAACGGACCCCCAACTCCTGCAGCGCCGGGGGCAGCGCGGCCCCCCTGGCATGCACTCGAACCAGGAAGGAGCAGGGGAACAGGGTGCATGGAGCTCTGAACCAGGGGGGCAGCTGGAAAGCCAAGTCCCCCACGGGGGCTGCGGGCAGCTCAGCCTGGGAGCGCCAGAGACCCTTCGTCTTTCACCCGGGGAGGGAACGCGCCTTTGTGTCCTGGCTGCAAAGGAGACTCGAGGGTGCTGTCCAGGCTCCCCTCGCCCCTTGGTTTCTACAGGGGAACCCCGAGTCCCGTGGGAGCCGCCCGGCCAAACAGGGACGTGTGGCGCCCAGGCTGGGTGCACTACAGCCACGGCTTTGCACGCTCCACGGGGCAGTGGCAAGCGCTGGGGACCCAATGCAGTCAGGTCAATGCCGACACCAGACGGTCAGGGTGGCACAGTATGCCTGGAGCCGCTGGTCATCACTCTGGAGCCACCCGGCTGGGGGCAAGGGTCCGGTTCTGCTGCTAACACTGGGGAGGGGGTCAATACCGGCTGCCCGGAGGGTTGCTGCCCCGAGGGGTCCCCGGCCCTGCTCTGCCCATGGGAGCTCAGCATGTCACCAGCTGCACCGCATGGCCTGCCTCCCAGCACCGCGTCCCGCCTGCCTGCCCCCGGGGACGCGGCGCCGGCTCACCTCTCGCAGACGCGGACAGTCCAGGCGGCGATGATCCAGGAGGAGATGCTGAAGACCAGGAGGACCGTGCCGGGGCAGATGGTCATGAGGGTCTTCATGACGAAGCGGGTGTTGAAGTTGATCTTGTTGAGGGCCCCGATGCTGCGGGACGAGGCGTCGGTGAAGAGCTTGCTGTGCAGCAGCATGACGCGCCCGATCAGGTAGAGCCGCAGGAACATGGGGATGGACAGGATGATGTCCACGTCGGCATCCGCCACCGAGGTGGTGTAGGTGAAGGCCAGGCGCGCCGTCCACGTGAAGAGGTACTGGCCCGGCACGGGGTGGATGGCACACACCAGCAGCTCCAGCGTGATGAAGAAGATCCGCTCGTAGGTCATGGCTATTCTCCAGTCGTCCGCCCCGTTGTCCACCATGAAGAGCTGTGGGGGGAGCGGAGGAGGTCGGTGAGAGGCCAGAGGAGGGACACGACACCCCCGCCTGGGACGCAGGAGCTCTGAGATCTGTCCCCAGCTTCCCAACCCCCTTGGGGTCTTCTACAGGCCAGACGGTCCAAGCTGCCCCTTGCACCACAGGGCCCTGATCCTGGCTGGGGACCCACTGGGGCCAGTGCAGCATGAGCAGCTGGTGCTCCCCCCATGGAGGGTGTGTGGGGGGTGAGTATGCAAATGAATGGCCCCACACCCTTCAAGAGCCTCGGCTAAGTGATGCGCCAATGGTCACCCAATGAGTTGGTGGCAGAGCAGGGTGCTCTCCTCCTGAGGCCAAGCTTGTGGGCACCAGGGGATGGAGAGAGCAGAGGAGGTGCAAAGAGACAGAGACAGGATGGATGCATGTCCTCTGCTCCCCATCCCTGCCAGCCAGGCGCACACGGTGACGACGCCAGCCCACGACAGTTTCCACGGGCAACGGCAGCGCCGCCGGGACTCTGCCGGGCTCCTCCCGGGCCTGGCTGGTGCTGGGAGCAGCAGCAGGATGCGAGCGGAGCCCACGGGAAGATGGATGCCTCTGCGGCATCAGCAACAGCTGGAGCTGCTGAGCTGAGTAATGAGCGCGCGCCTGCCCGGCCCGGAGTCGCCGCGCGCAGCTGCTTCTGCGCCAGCAGCCGTGGGCTGCGTCCCAGGCCCCAAGCGGGGATTTTCCATCCTCCTCGGTGGTCACCCAGGCTGCAGGCGGCTCAGCCCCCGGAGCCCCAGGGCGGCATGTGGGGGGCCGCGGCAGGGTCCCTTGACAGTCGTCCCATAGCAACTGCTCTCTGCGAGCCCCCACGGACCCATCGTCTCTGCTGCTTTGCACCTGGGGAGCCCTCAGACGGCAACACACCTGCATCCCAGGGGGGGCCGGGGGAAGGCACTGGTGCACCAGGACCCCTGAGCTGCGTCCACACTGCAAACACCCTAGGGGGTAGTGGTGGTGGTGGGGTTACAAGCCCATGGGAAAGGGGCCCCAGGGCCTGGATCCCAGGCACGATGGGCTTCACGGGGGATTTACAACTCAGGCAGGCCCAGGCTCAAAGGCAATGGAGACGGGGCAGCGAGAAGCCCCCTCGGCTACCCACTGGCTCCAGGCTGCAGCGCATGAGTTACAGACGCTGCGGGAAGGAAGTGGTCAGAAAGTTTTCCATTCGATTCTCTCAGCGCAGCCGCTTTGCTCTCAAACATCTCTCAAGCTCCTTTAGAAAGCCCCCAGACCGAAGTCCCGAGACTCGGCAGACACATATACAGCGGTGCCCAGCACCTCGTGCAACACGAGTCTGTGACCGGCCGGGGTCACTTGCTCTTCGGGGGAAATTCAGTATCTTATTGCAGCAGGACTCTGCTTGGAGTCCAGTAACTCTAGGTAGGAAAAAGCACCATGTAATTGTCCATAAATCCTCCTTAAATGGCTGGAAGCACCGTTCCAAGGGGCGTTCGTGGCATGGAAAGGAGCCAGCTTTAGAAAGCTCTGAGTCTGACGGTAATGGCCTGAGGAGCATTAAAAACCCAATTTCTGCAAACCCTCTACTCACAGGGCCCAATGCATTCACTTGCGGGGTGCCACAGCACCCTGGGGTGCCTTGAGATCCTTTCCAGGGTGCTGCGGGGTGTCACACACACATTGTGCTAGGCGTGCAAGCATGATTCACAGGAGAAGCCCAGGAATTTCCATGACCTTGCCTCTACATATAGACCCCACAGCCGTGTGACCCCAGATCCCAACGCCCTCAAGCTCCAGGTGAGATGGGAGCAAGGGCGGCCCCGATCCGGAGTCTGCCCCTGCCCACCGCAGGAGGATTTCCCCCCGGGTTTCACGCTGCCCCCAGCCTTGCCCGGGCCCCTCCCTGCCCCGCTGGGGGCCAGAGGAGCCACTCACCTGGATTTCCCTGGCATGGTACATGATGATGAGGCCCAGCAGGATGATGGTCGACAGGCTGATAAGGCATTTCAGTGCAAATGAGTATGACGACTCCTGTGAGACAGAGGGCAGCTGCGTTAGGCTGGGCTTCCCTGCCAGCCTCTCCCTCTGCCAACGCACCACGGAGAGCATCCCATTTCACAGATGGGGAAACTGAGGCACAGAGGCTCGCCCCAGGTCACACAGCGGATCCCAGCTCCCACGGATCCAAGCCGAGCTTCAGCTTCCTCCGCAGAGAGAGCTCAGGGGCTTCGGTGGGGCGAGGCCTGGCCAAGAGGGAGCTAAGCCACGGTGCCACTCAGATGCCACAGCATCCATTGCACCCGGGGGTGCGCTGACCAGGGGAAGGTCTCCACCCAGGGAGCCGAGGGCACAGCCCAGGCCTTCCCCAGCAACCTCCTGGCACCTGCTTCGACCCTCGTGACCACAGCATCGGGGCTTGGCAGCACCGGCGGGGATCGGTGCCCCATTCGTTGGCCACGGCAGGGAGGGAAGGAGCAGCCCCCGGCTCGGCACAGGGCAGGGGGCAGGAATCCCCACTGCAGCCCAGAGGAGAGGGGCAGGGACAGGGGCATGGGGAGATGGAGGCACACGCATGGGCCTGCGTAGGCCTGTTTCCCCATGTTCGTGCCCACACGAGACCGCTGACACTCCAGCCTCTGGGCCCAGGGATGCAGGCCAGCCGCCCCTTGGATGCTCTCAGCATCCCCTTCCCCAGCCGCCCCGTCGCACACCCACGCGTGGAGCTGCTCAGGCAGGTGCCTCCTCCCAGAGGGCGGCCGCTTGGGGGACACTTGCATGTGCAGACCCCGGGGTGATGCCACCCCGCAGCACCCCCCATGCAGCATGGCTGCGGCCCCAAGCCTGGGCACCCAGAGGTCCGGCGGGACCGGTGGCTGGCTCCAGCCTGGGACATCCCCACCGCAGCACCCGGTCCGTACCTTGGTGTAGACGCCCCAGGAGAGCTCCGTCTCGGTCACCATGACGACGATGCCGAACATCCCGAAAATGAGGGCGTAGTCGCTGAGGCGCTTGCGCTTCTCGAACAGGGCTCGCCGGTGGCCCAGCCGGTACCCGACGTTCTGGTTCTTGCGCTGCCGCCGGATCCGCTCCGCTCCCGCCGCCGCCTCCTCGTCGTCCTCGTCCTCCTCCCCGGCGTCCACGCTCGTGTCCGACACCTTGGCCTGCTCCGGCTTGGAGACCACGGCCTCCAGGCCGGCGCTGTGCAGGGTCTGCAGGGGCTGGGTCTCAGCCTCCAGCTCGGGGAGGTGGCGGGGGGAGGCGCTCAGGCTGCCCAGGGGCCGGACGACGCCTCCATTGTACTTGCAGCTGTTCATGGCTATCTCGGGGAAGGGGTTGGGCTCGCTGACGGCGCCCACGGAGCCAGCATGGTTCAGAGCCCACGAGCCGGCATGGACCTGCGGGGAGACAGCCGGGGTCAGGGCCACGCGCTCATCGCTGGAAGGAGTCGGGCTGGGCTCAGCTCGGGGCAGGGAGCACACGGCCATCCTCCATGGGCAAAGGAGCCCGCCCCAGAGCCCCGCTGGAATCAGGGGGGCTCAATTCAGCCCCACGCGGCAAGAGCCTGGAGCCTGCAGCAGAGAAGACATGCAATGGAGAACGTCCCCGCAGCCCCTGAGCCCGCACAGGCGGGAGGGACGCCACCCCGGACCCCAGAAAGCAGCAAAGGGATCCCACCGGTGTTGCAGGGGAGGTTTGGGGAGCACGGGGCAGGGCCCGGGAGGTGCAGAGGAGCCGGCGCAAGGGCTTTTGCACCCTGCTTGGTGCCAGCTTCGGTGCAGAGGAGCTGGGCAGCTCGAGGGCAGCTCTGTGCAGCTGCTTCTCAAGGGTGATGGCAGCTGCCGGAGATGCCCCCGGGGCTGCAGCTCGCATGCAAACCCGTCCCAAGCACCCTGCAGAGAGACCAGGCTGAGCAGAGACCTGCCAACACCACGTCCCAAGCCCTGGCACCGGTCTCCCATCCAAGCACAGGCCCTGCTGGACTTCACCAGCCTGGTGGCAGCCAGGGGGTGAATCCAACCAGGCATCCCGAGACCTGCCGCTCCCCTACGTCCTACCAGCTGGC